GCGAATCGGTTACACATTGATAATATGTAAACGCACCAGTAACTTGGTGTTATAAAACTTATTGTTGTGTGTGATTTGGTGAGTGAGTGCAAGCAAACATTGAGTCGAAGTTTATCCGTTCCTTTTACCCAAAGTGGGATAAAAGCGATATCTGTGGGCCCCTCGATGATTTAGTGATGACAAACGTAAATGCTCGGCCGGGCTAGGGCTAATTTGATTTGTTCAATTAGTCAGTCGTCGTAAATCGGAAATCGGGAAACAACACATAGACTGAGAGAATGATTTCAATCCATGTCTCACGTCTATACGATATCTAGAATGGAGGAATATATGATCCCTTATCTAAAGGACAGGTTACTGATAAGATCAGAGTTTGACAGCGTCTTTGAGAGCTACGATTGCTAATCGAGTTGTACTTACATTTGTGGTTACTAGACTTATCCAAGTGGGAGACTGTTGGATTAGTGTCTAAGCCTGTAACCATATTTGGTAAGTACTTGACCCGATTGTGCATGGTCCTTTTGGGTTGCCTTCACCAAAGCAACTTGACTGGAGAAATAATAGAGAAAGAGGTTATTATGATTTATTAATATGTTATAAGAATAATATATTAAAGGAGAAATCATATTTGTTTAATTAATATTGGTCAATAATTAATTAGGAATTAATTTTGTGATCAAGTGTAATTAATTAAACTAGAGGGGCTGAATTGTAATTATGTGATAGTTACAAAATAGGGTAATGATTATCCTTGATATGGGTTGGACGAATTCAAGGGATAAGATATCCTTGAAATCGTCCAAAGGATAAAGGATAAGGGATTTCAAGGCTTATCTTATGATTGCTTGGTGGGCAAGCAACTAGATAAGGATAAGGACTGAAACCCTAATCTCTACACCTATATAAAGACCCCTAAGGCTCATGAATTCGTACATGCCTTCCCAAGGGGTCCTAGGGACGGAATTCTATACCTCTTCCCTCTCTCTATTACCTCTCCATTTGCTCTTGGTGTTTGTGAGCCATTAGAGGTACTACACTTGTGGTACTTGCTTTCAAAGACAAGAAGATTCAAGATTTAAGTTGTTATTACAATATAACAACAAGAGGTATGTATTTCATCTTTCCTTGTGGATTTCGAAATTCCTAGAAGCCTTTTAGGGTTCTTCAAGTGTTCATAATGTTGTATAACTAATAGTGATAACATAGATCCAACTCTAGGGTTGCATGCACACATAGGATTGTTTGTATAAAACCCATCAGTGTCAAACCGTTTATTTAAACGAGTTGAAATATGCTACCCAAACTCGTTTATTTCGTGTCGAATTCGAATCGGGTTTCGCGTCGTGACAATTTTTGCCATCTTTAAAAATTATGAATGATAAAAGTTGTTATATCAAATTTTCTTAAAAAAAAGTATAAATGTAATAATCTGTAATGAACATATACAAAATCTTTATTTCTAGAACGAGCTTATTTTGTATTATATTTTTGAAAAAGTTATAATATGAAATCACAAAAAAAAAAAAAAAAAAAAAAAAACAACACACACAAAAATGCAAAGGGAAATTGTAATGTGCTCTCTTTTGGCAAATTTGAAGTTACAATCATAAATTTATTCCTACCAACACAAGTACACAAGTATTATAGGGGTATTTATTTCATATATTACTAAAAATTATATGTTATTAAAATTATTGTTGCATTAGTTTTTAGCCTATAAACTAATTTATCAATAAGTTATCTTAAATAGTTTATCAAAAAAATAATTTATAAGCTACGATATATTATTTTTGTGGCCTCACAAAATACTAAATTTATGTTTGACGTTCATAAGCTAGCTCATTTGTTAAGTTTATTATAATTTAATGATTGATAAGATCACAAAAATATATTCAAATAGTTTATAAACTAATTTATAAGCTAGTTTTTCAATAAATTATTTGAAATTGCTTATTGATAAGCTATATTTTAGCTAACACTCAAATTGCATTAACCTTGAAAAAAATATTTTATAAGTTAATTTATACGTTTCAAACATAAAAAAAAATTGTTGCGAAACTATCATCGGACAAAATTTTATTATCATAACCAAAACTAACAAGAAGTTAAGATACCAACCAAAGGAAAATTACATAAGAACAAGCACATCATTTAAACTATTATATATAAAGTATCTCTACGTATATCGGACTCAAATATCATTACATATAATAGTCGATAACAATTAAAGACAATGAAGAAAATTTATAGATAAATCTAATGGTAGATTTAAACATCATTTCATTAGTTGTGACATAGTATCCGTGTATTTTCTTCTATATATTATATTATCATGTGGGCATTCTTTCATATTTGTCTCCGCATTAGTGTCCTATTGTTAACGATGCACAAATCCATATATAAAAGGGGTTTGAGTATAAATTTGGAGATCCATCTTCCTTGTTTTGGAGATAATTTATCATCTCATGTTGGCCATAGGACCGACTAATGGGCAACGTCCATTGGTGGTGTATACCCCTTATTTTTCTAATAAGTTTTATAGTAAGATACTTATACTATTAACAAGTTGTAGATGTTTGTTTTTATGGAACAATATAAATTATCACAAATGCTACCCAAATATTAAAAATGCAAAATATATCATTCATTTTAACCTTTGTGTCATATACCAGATTTAACAATACTGTTATTTTCCAAAACTATTTTTTCGTTATATAATTTACAAACAAAATGACATGTAGTGATATAGAAGAAGTGTCAGTGAAAACAAAAAAAGTGATATTAAAGGCCCTTTGGCTGGCACAAAAAAAGTGTCACTAAAAGTAACTTTTAATGACACTTATTTATTTGTTATGCAACAATACATTTCGGTTTTAATGATACTTCTTATGTCACTATATACTCGTTAAAATAAATGTTTTTTCCTAATCTTTTTACCAGAAAAAAATTATATTAAAAAATTATGTCCGGTTTTTTAATTTAAATAGAATATAAAATATTAAAAAGATAACTAAGCTAATAAATAAAAAACACACAATATAGTTAATTAATTTATAATATAACTTGTCTAAGATCAATATTTTCAGTACTTAAATCACAAATGCTTTGAAGTTTTAATATATTTAATTGACACCAAAACATAAAATTATCAAACCACTTATTCAGGAAGAAACACAAATTTTTGCATAAGTGATCTTCCAATTCATCTAACTTGCAAATATTTATCTACTGTACCTAAATATTAAAACTAATATATCACTCATTTTAACATTTGTCACATATACCAAATTTAACAATATTGTTATTTTTCAAAACTATTTTTTCTTTTACAAACAAAATGACACCTCGTGACAGAATAAAAACTAAAAACGTGATATTAAAGGCCCTTTGGCTGGCACCAAAAAATGTCACTAAAAGTTTTTTTGTTTTTTTGTTTTTTATTTTGTTTTTTTTTTAATTATTATTTGAAAGAGAATGTTTTTTCCTAATCTTTTAACCACAAAAATTTTATAGCTAATGAACATGTCATATAAAGTTATTAGAACCAAAAACACAAATCCACTTTGCATAATCAACCCGACATATAAATAAACATTAAACGGAACCTAAGTTTTTAACATGTTTCAACCTTCTGGCCCTTCTTTTAACTATTGACATACTTCTCGAATTCTAAACATGCAACACAAAACAAAAGTAAATAATAATAATAAGTCAACAATCAAATTAACTAAATCAAAACACAATTCATTCAAACCTTGCATTGGTGGCTGGATATTGTAAAGCTTAATATCTGATCCCCAACTATCGATATCAGCTTCTTAATAAACTCTTCTTGACTTATTTTTTTCGCCTAAAAATTCACCTAGAAAGATTTTAACACTTTTGCGCATACAAATTGCAAAACATTATATAACCTATATAAAATGTTAAAAAACACAAAATTACTAAACATACCCTATAAGATTCATAAAAATATGCACCAATCTCATGTGATTCGGTGCTACTTTAGCAAAAAACCAGAAAATGTTTCAAACAATATAGAAAAAAGAAAACATACATAGTGATTTAGGATCTTTAGGTGTGGTTGAATCAACACTAGAAACCTTCGCTTAAAGTGGCACCACAAGGAAGTTTTTCCATTGAAAATAATAATTAAAAAAAATTATAGATCAAAATGATGATTAAAAACATCTAAATTAATAAGATAAAAAAACTTAATTACTGTTTTACTCAAAGAGATTTGTTGATCATGAGTTGCAGTGGAACTGGCAACTAAGTTACAACTGTCTATATCATATTTTATATCATCAAAAGGCTTGGTATTGGAAGTCTCTCCATTTAACAAGATAATGTCTTTAGCCAAACTCTGTTCCATTCTCATCTAAAACTTTCAAGTACAAATGATTTAATAAGAAGCATTTTGATTTAAACTTGATATTATACAGGTTATAAAAAACAAAAACAATAAAAAAAATCCTCATTTTGCATGATTTATCTTTTCCGATACTGGTCTAATCTTGATTAGAGTCAAGCTCTCGTCTACATAAGAATTGGTGACTTTATCCTCTAGCGAGGCTTTAAGAAGCTCTTTGATAAGTTTATATCCTCTCTATCTCACATGATTTGTAAGATCTAGTTATGAATCATACTTGATAAGTCCTCAAGTTAGTAGAAATAAGTATTTTATATTTCAAGAAGTTATCTTGTTTCTGTTTTTAAATATGGTAATTAGGATCGTTTATTATTTGAGTCCATTTTAGAGTCTTTGTTTCCTTATTTAAGTCTTTTGTTTATCCCTATTTAAAGGGTAGTCATTCATCAAATAAGATATGCTGGAATTTAAAAACAATCAATAGAGTATTATTAGTTTAATAGCTTAGTTTAGTCTTCTGCAAACAGGAGGTTAGGTTACAAGGGAGTTCACGACTCATTCATGCAACATTGGTACTATCACGGGGTCTAGATCCCGGGATATAACAAATTTGGTATCAGAGCCGCTCATGATGTTTACCATATCTGAAGATTCCCTAAAGAAACTAGAAGCTTTCATGACTCAACAAACTCAGAACAGGATCGATTTGAAGGCGGCAGTAAAAACCTTGCAGGCCAAGCAAACATCTCTGGAAGAAGGGCTGTTGGCACAAAGCCAAAACAAAAGCAAAAAACGTTTTAGGTCAGAGGAGAATGAGGAGGAAAGCGTAGAAGAGGAAGTTGAGATGGCGCGGTTTGAAGACCCCCACGAACAGGGTCAGGGAAGAGGAATAGGGGTAGGTCTCGGCGTCAATCCAAATAGCAAGGGACAGACAGCATCAATGGTAGGTGGTCGAGGCAGGGTTTTTTTTAAGGAACCGCCTTGTGGGGTAGGAAGAGGAATAGGGAGGAGTTACGACTCCTGGCGAATGAAGGATCCACAACCATTCAAACATAATTGGGAACCACCCAAATTTGATGGGTTCAATCGCCGGGAACCATAACCACCCAAGATATGGGACGACTCCGAGGATTTAGGGTACCGAGGTAGCCAGGTACCAAGGTTTGCTAAGATGGAATTTCTGACTTATGCTGGGAAGGGTGACCCCCTTGAATGGCTCCAAAAGTGTGAAGATTTATTTGAAGAGCAGCAAACCCCAATAAATGCATGGGTGTGACAAGCCACCTTCTCTCCACAAGGGCGGGCCAGTTCGTGGTATCATAATCTCAGAAGGATGAGGACTCTCCTAAGCTAGGGTGAATTCTCAGAAGAATGCAAAATCAGGTTTGGGCTACCAATTAGCATGAACCCGCTTGGAGAGTTGACTAGTTTGCGAAGGAGGGACTTGTGGAAGACTATTGTGCAAAATTTGAATCCTTATTGGGCTGAAAAACTGGTGTAACACCCGAGCAAATTATCGGGCATTTTACGATATGAAGTGGGATTTGCAAGACCCAACACCCTTTATTTCGCTATCAATTTAGCTCGACAAATTGAGCTGAAATTATCAGAGGAGGGGAAACCTAGGAGTTTTGGAGCACCCCAGTAAAACGGGAATCAACCCTCGTTAGCAAGAAAAAATCGAGAGTCAGCAGGTGATGGAGCCGAAGCCGTGAAATCTGAAGTGTGGAACCCGGCTTGGAAACGACTTACGACTACAGAGATGGCAGAAAAGCGAGCAAAACGATTATGTTTTAACTGTGATGAGATGTTCTCGGTCGGCCATAAGTGTGCAAAACTCTTATGTATCATGATGGAAGATGAAGAAAATGTTACTTGCGAGGATCTGGATGGTTTTACCAACACGTTCCCATGCTTTGAGCTTGCGGACAAGCTCAATGCAGAGGAGGGGAGTAATGTTATGAATCATACTTGATATGTCCTCAAGTTAGTAGAGATAAGTATTTTATATTTCAGGAAGTTATCTTGTTTCCGTTTTTAAATTTGGTAATTAGGATCGCTTGTTATTTGAGTCGATTTTAGAGTCTTTGTTTCCTTATTTGAGTCTTTTGTTTATCCCTATTTAAATTTTAAAGGGTAGTCATTCATGAAATAAGATATGATGGAATTTAAAAAAAAATGAATAGAGTATTATTAGTTTAATAGCTTAATTTAGTCTCCTGAAAACAAGAGGTTAGGTTACAAGGGAGTTCACGACCACGTCAAGCAGCATTGGTCATGTCATGAGGTCTAGATCTCGGGACATAACAGATATTTGATAGTTTATTTTATTTACTTCTTTTATTTAGTTTATTTTAGTTTTTAATAATTTTTTTTTGTTATTTTTGCATTGCATATTTTATTTTTTCTTTACTATGGATCGTACTGGATACTTTTTCTTTTTCATGAGGTATTTTGCAGGTTTTTGGTATTGGTATTTTTAGGTTATAAATCACATGTACTTGCGTAATTTCACATAAACACTTATGTGCATATGCAACCTAAAAGATCTATGACTTTTCACTATTAATATCAACATACTTTATATTACAAACCTAAACCCTAATGGTAATCGAAAAACATAGATGAATAGCATACATTTTTGCTTAAATCGAATTAAGCAATCAAACACTTGAAGATCTAATTGGAAAACAAGCTCTAATTGTGTGGTAGCCTCTAATGCATCACATCCAAAACCTTAGGAAACCTTAGGATTGAATATATGAGAGAGGGGATAGGAGAAATTCTAATTTATATATGTAAGGAGGAGGGATCGAATTTCCAAGCCTTAGGGTCCTTTATATAGCTGCCAGATTATCCCAGAAACCCTAGATTTGAATTCAAAATAATAATACTTTAATTCCATACATATCTAGTTTCCTTATGTAAGTTGGAGGCTTTTAGAACCCTTCATTATTGTTCTCAAAACCGTCCACCTTTAGGAAGGTTATAGATCATCTTCTTTGCTCAAATATTGAACAACTGTAGGTCAGTCCCTGTACCTTTAACTAACTCTAATTAACCCATACTATTTCCAATTAATATATTAATCATATGATCTATTAATAAACCATTTATCTCTCTTTTATAATCAATCTAAGCTATTTCCTGGTTATGATGGTGTCCCAAAAAGGACTTTACTTTTATTCTTCAAGATTATACCAATTTAGTTAAGACCTTAGACACTTAATCGAACAGTCTCCCACTTGGATAAGTTGCTAACTAAAATTTCTAGTATAATTCAGAAAAAGTAGTAAATCATGTTTTCCAAAGACAATGCCAAACTCTGATCAGATCAGACGCCAGCCCTAAGATAAGTGATCACCTATCCTTTCGTTCTTCATGATATTGTATAGACAGACGACATGGATTAGAATCAATCTCATGGTCCAAGATTTTGTTTCTCGATTTCCCGATTTGTGATGACGTCATCAGATTAGTAATTGAACACATTAATTTAGTCGCGGTTGGGTCCAACATTATAATGTCAACATCAAATCACTGAGGGGCCCAAAGATATCGATTTTCCTTAATAGGAAAAAGGAACGAATAAACTTTGACTATATAATCATACATTTTACTCACCTAGTCATACATGGAAATACACATTATAACATTTAGTTACGAATGCTCTGCTGCAAACCAATGCACAAAAGACTTGCAAACTATGAGTTATATATCTCCGTTTTAAGAATAAAAGATATTATCGTCTTACAATTACTCGTGATTGAATCCATGAAGTAATCTCTAAGCATGATTTTAAACAATACTCAAAATCCCCATTTTCTAAGTACTCGTGAATATAGCAACAATCATATGCAATATCCAGTCCCTATAGACAATCTACAAACAATTCATGACAATCTTAAATCAATAATTAATCCTAAAGTATGACCGATTATGGCATTTCAAATAAATTATTATTCATGAAGTAAAACATGCAAAGCGAAATAATAGAATAAGTTAATTGACAAATGATATCACTAACTGCCAAAATCTAAAATCTGATATCATCTCTTTGCTTAATGCTCCTAGCATGCTAAAGGTGCTTAATCTTACTTAAAACCTTTGTGAGAGGATCAACAAGATTATCATTTGATGATACACGATTCACCATGAGTATTCCATCTTCTACTTTATGTCTAATATTATAGTATTTCCTTTCGATGTGCCTTGATCTACCATAATCCTTTGGTTCTTTGATCAAAGCAACCACACCCTCATTGTCGCATAATATCTCCACTGGCTCTTGGATTGATGGAACAACTCCAAGATATCCAATAAACTTCTTCAACCACATTGCCTCAATTGTTGCCTTGTTTGTTTCGATGTACTCTGATTTATAAGTAAAATCATACACCGTCTGCTACTCGGAACTCTTCCAAGTTACGACTAAACCAATCAACAAAAAATACCCAAACAAATTACGATTAACTATTATTCTGATCAGTTTGAAAACTGGCGTCATTATAACCATTCACCTTAAGTTCATCTTTGCCACCAAAAACCAAAATCATAACTTTTGTTTTTTCGCAAATAGTCAAGAATATTTTTCACTGATGTCCAATGAGCCATGCTTGGATTTCCCTGATATCTGCTAACCATGCTCAAGGAAAAGGCTACATTAGGTTGAGTATAGGTCAAAGCAAAACATGAGTGATCCCATAGCCGAAGCATATGAGACTCGACTCATCGCATCTATTTCCTTATCACTACCGGAATATTGAGCCTTGCCCAATTTAACAGTATGATGTATGGAGAAATCCCCTTTCTTGGAATTCTCCAAATTAAATTGTCTCGATATTTTATCCAATTAAGTACTGTGGCTAAGCCCAAGTAAATGTCTCTTCCTATTTCTATAAATCCTTATTCCAAAAATGTATGAAGCCTCTCCTAGATCCTTCATACCGAAACATTTCCCAAGCCAATATTTCACTTCTTGAAAGTTTGGAACATTGTTTCCTATAAGGAGTATGTCATCAACATACAAAACCAGAAAGGTCACTACATTCCCACTAGCTTTGACATACACGTATGACTCAACCTCACTTCTATAAAATCTAAACATTTTCATGGAAGCAAAGTTTCCAACTACAAGATGCTTGTTTCAGTCCATAGATAGACATCTCATGCGTACACACCTTATTAGAGAATTTGGCATGTTTAAACCATCTAGCTGAGCCATGTAAACATCCCCAGTCAGTTTCCCATTAAGGAAACTTGTTTTAACATCCATTTTCCATACTTCATAGTTAGGATAAGCAGTTATCGAAAACATTACCCTAATTGAGTTAATATTGGAAATTGACAAAAAGGTCTCATCATAGTCAACCCCTTGGGTTTGAGTAAATCCCTTTGTAACCAACCGTGCCTTGAAGGTTTGTACTTTACCATCAATGTCAGTCTTCTTCTTGAAGATCCATTTGCACCCTACTGTCTTTCGACCAGGCATGTGATCAACCAAAGTCCATACTTGGTTATCTAACATTGATCGGATCTCATTATCCATTCCCTGTTTCAATTTTGCAGCCTCATGGTCTGCCATCGCTTCCTTTTAGTTAGCTAGCTTATCGAAATTTACCAATGTACTATCACTAATAAAATTTTCCCTATTTGTAGTTATATGGAAACCATAACACTCAGTTGGCATGCTAACTCTACTCGATAACCGAAGAGGTAACGAATTGTCAATAGGCTCAAAAATTCAACCTTAGGTGGAGAGCTAGTGTCATCAAAGGTTCCTTCATTGGACGACTCTTGAATTTCTTCAAGATCAATCTCATTCCTACTGTCCTCTTTGATTATGATCTCCCTCCCCTCTCTCTCTCAAGACTCCCTTCAAGCTACAAAGACCACATACTTACTAGGCCTATAGAACAAGTATCCATATGAATTTTGTGGATAGCTAATGAAAATACATCTCTCGGCTTTGGGTTCCAGTTTAGCTTGGGTCTCACGCCTAATGAGAGCCTCGTAACCCCCAACCTTCATATGTACGCGCGGGGGAGGTTTCCTTGTCCACCTCTCATGAGGTGTTTTGGAAACCTTCTTGGTAGTTAAAAG